ATCTGTATTCCCATTCCCATCATGCCCACTTGCACTCTCAGACCCATCATGCTGTTGCTGAACCACAACATGGAGTCTCTTTTCCTGCAGCTTGAATCCATTATTCCATGTCATAGCCATTAGAACAGTAGAAATCTAGCTTGCCATCTTCTCAATATAACATCCTTTCAAATATATAAACATATGGTGTTTATTCTTACAGAGAATAAATATATAAACATAAGGTGTTTATTCTTACACAGAAGTAAAATACAATCTTGCAACCTTGCCATGTACAGCAAACCATATCTGGGTTGACTCCATCTTTCTACATGGTAATGACTTCCATGTAGGAAATCTGTAATGTATCAATGGAGGTGGTCAGCTGTTGTTTGGATGCAAATCCTAATTTAATCAGTGGTCCTGATCTAAAGATTACTGGACAGAATTGTATAAAATATGTTGCAATTGTTCATAATTATAGTCTTGGATGATGGCCTGTTGTGTCTTGTAAAGTGGAGCTCGTTCTCACTAGAATACTTGGTTCTCATTGCCCCAGACTGTGTTTTAGAATAGGAAAAGAATGCAATGCCAAAGAAGGCAATGGAATTTTTCAGGTAGGAGGGACACAACAACAACAGAACTGAGGCTACCAAAGAAGCATGTTTAGACTTTTCAAGGGCTCTTGTTTAACTGGTATGAGCCAACACTCGCTCAGCCCCAGCCCCAGCACCGAAGTTGTTGTTGTTGTTGTTGTTGTTGTTGTTATTATTATTATTATTATTATTATTTATTGTTACATTTTATTTTATTTTTATATCCCGCCACTATCTCCCTGAAGGGACTGAAGTGGCTTACAAGTGGGACCAAGCCCAATAACAACAAAGTTAGATGAATAAAAACACAATAAACGCATTAAAAACACAATACACATATGACAATTTAATTACTCAATTAAAACAGTAAAAAAAAATAAAAACATCATTAGAATAAATCAAAGCCAATCGCAATAGCCGGAACCAGGACTATGGTGGGCAGATCAAAATTAGAGTAGTCTCTCTGTATCCTGCAAGGTATAACAATTACATTGTGATGACAAAAGCATGTGTTTGGGTGGTTCTCTACTTGGTTTAAGAGGATTTTAATAAAACATCTGCTTTGGACCATTTGAGAAACTGCCTTTGGCATGAAGCTGTGATCAGAAATTAACATTTTAAGTGAGCTGGTCAGTGGTCAAAATGTAGTCTGAATATGTGCTATGAAGAAAGGTTCAGGGTTATATTGTAATTACCTGGAAGCACAGGGAAAAAGGATGGATTGAGGTGATGTCACTGTAGCAGATGGCTCCAGACAAAAAACTGGCCATTGCCATATATATCCACATGGGATCATTTGCAGCAAATATATCCACATGGGATCATTATCGCCCTTTCCCCTGATTGTGTGGGTGCCTCTGTCTATGTCAGCAAAGGCACCTAGAATGACCAGGAATTGCCAGGAACTCCTTTGGATTTTTGTGTTTGACAACAGCTATGGTGGTGACAGGAAAGGCAAGGGTGGAAGTTTACTTGGGTTGAAAATGGTTTTGGCCTGTCTGGACCATCTGAACTGTCATAAATCAGGACAGAGTGTTTGAATATTTGGCCATATTCTACAAAGCCGGAACAACTTGATTGTCCTTTGATTTGATGCTTTTAGTCTTTATATTAAGCCAAGTCTTAACGGTTCGTTTAGAATATCTGAACAGTGACGTGGACCAGAGATTATTCCACTCTTTAAGACTGGCTGGTTTCATCTGACTCTGAGCTGTTTTATAATGTATAATATTAATCTGCACATGCCAGACCAATTTATACAAATATGTGGATTAGATGAGATCAAAGTTTTGCCCATCTGGAGGTTGCAATTTTGCTCAGGGCTTTAGATGTGTGTGTTACGTGCGTTGTCTTTTTCTGGTTTTCATATAAAATATTTTTACTTCCAGATTTCTGAAGATATGAGCAATATTAGGATATCAACAGTTTTGCTTATAACTCTATGTCTGAATATTAGGAAGATTTCAGAATGAATGAAAACAGTCAGCTCTCCACATTTGCTAAGGTTAGGGGCACAGGACCCCTCACAAGAGTGAAAAGCAATTAATAAAAATTATTTTTTTAAAAACCTGGGAGAATACTTCCCAAAGAATCTTTAGGTCCTCCAATAATGACATTGCAGTCACCTCCCAGCGAGAATGGCAAAGTAAGACCTAGAGATTGCAAGACAGGTATTCTCTATAGGAATCTCTTGGTCCTCCAGCATGACTCTGTGGGCAACTTTAGTCCTGATATGACTATGATGGTGGCCAGATGCACTGGACCAGACCCACTGCGGTGCTGCACTGACCAAGACTGCATCGGCTCTACTGGACTATCAGTTTGCCTGCTCTATTGCCACTTCCACTTTTTGCTGGCCATAGGTTGATCTCCGTAGGCAAGGGTGATGGCATATTATTCTTTTGGATAGCAGTTCAGACCAATTGGACCCAGACTGTTGCAAAGTTTCAGGATATTCCAGAGTTTCCAGAAAGCTCCTGAGTATCCACTAACTTGGCCTAAAGTGAAGCAAAGTTGAGTTAAATCAAGAAAACTCTCAATACTCACTGGCATACATTATGGGCACAGCTAGTAGTAGAATCATAGAGTTGAAAGAGACCTCATGGGTCACCCAGTCCCACCCCCTGCCAAGAAGCAGAAAAATTGCACTCAAAACATCCCTGACATGTGACCATCCAGCCTCCACCACAATCCGGGCCAGACAGTTCGAGTACTCTCACAGTTAGGAAGTTCTTCCTCATGTTCAGGTGGAATCTCCTTTCTTGTAGTTTGTTCCGCATTGTAGTCTCCAGGCCAGCAGAAAACAAACTTGCTCCCTCCTTCCTATGACTTCCCCTTACATATTTATACAAGACAATCATGTCTCCTCTCAGCCTTCTCTTCTGCAGGCTAAACATGCCCAGCTCTTTGAGCCACTCCTCATAGGGCTTATTTTCCAGACCCTTGATCATTTTAGTTGCCATTTTAGTCACATTCCAGTTGTAGTTTCAAGATTAGTCAACTTTTTTTGTTTTGCCCATGGTGACCTTATGAAAGCTTGTATTCAAATACATTTATTAATCTTAAAGATGTCATAAGACTACTGATTAATCCCATTTGTGTGCTACACTCATCTGTCTTTACTTTACACTGCACCTGTAGCAATGTTCTCCTGCTTTATTTATTTAATCTCTCTCTTTGCTTCCAGCATGGGATCCAAGATGACGTACAATGTTTTAAGAGCACAATACAATTAAAACACTTGTTTTTGTGGTTCATAATAGAAGAGAGCAGCTTTGATGAAGGCTAGCATTTTTTAATTCGGGGCCACATACCAGGAAAAAGGATGTTGTTATCTTGATTAACTTACTAACTCTCTGTGTTTGTTTTTCTTCCCATAGGGAGAGAGGCACAGCAAAGCACACCCCATTTGCTGGACTGGGCCTTATCCCAGTTTATTGGAGTAATGTACATTGCCATGGTAATGAAGAAAACATCCTGCTATGTGAAAAAAGTATCTGGCAGGATGGAATGTGTCCTCAAAATATGGCAGCTGCTGTCACATGTAGCTTTTCCCATGGTAAATCCAAATATGTATACAGAATTTAATTTTGCATTTTCTAAAGAAAGCTGTTGTTCTTGTAGGACCTAGATTATGAAATATAAATTAGCCTTGTTGATCATTCTTGGTAGTAAAGTACTCCTCCAACAAACAGATACTTATCATGACAAACATAGCTTTAAAGCCATTAATTTCCTTCAGGCTTGTTCAATTGAGTCCTTTGACTGGTTTCTTCACAAGAGGTTTTGACAACGTTGTATAATATTCAACCAAGGAGGCTCACTTTTAGGAATTAGAAGAGTCATTTCAGAGACTCATATACAGTTTATGGTGGTTTTCATTCTTCTTCCAATTGCATTTCTAGGAGTAATCGCCTTCCACTTTATTTACTTCTCTGCATCTGTTTCAGAATTATTTTTAGTGTCATTGAAAGGGCCCCCGCAAAAACACTATGAGTTCAATGGGTGATGCAGTCTCCTTCAGCCGCTTTCGATCTGCAAGTACAATCATACCTGACAAAGTATGCCTGCATGGCCCACTTTCTCCATCTAGCTGGAAGTATTTTAGAAAAATCCACATTGGCAATATGATAAAGAGAGACTGGAGAAACATAAGATTGAAGAAACATGTCTGTAGTAAATATAGTGCAGTAACGCTGGAGCTAGGAAAGAATGGACTTCTGCTCTAATTCATCCTACTATAGCTGTTTGTGTCTCTTTGCAGATGGCATGGTAAACAGCAACTCCCTCCAGAATACCTTTTGAATCTATAACCAGGTTTTCTTGGAAAAAATTGTTTAGAGGAGGTTTTGCCTTCTCATGGAACTGAAAAAAAAAATGACCTGCCTGAGGTCTCCTGTGTTTGAGTGAGGATTTGAACCCTTCCAGAATTGTCAATCCTCAAAGCACAACACCATACTGGCTATCCCTTACTGACACATAAAATAGAAAGAAAAGGGAAAGCTTTTTTAAAGCACAGTTTGGCAACAAAATGGTAATTGTAATGGAAGTGAAAGAAAAAAAGTTACACATCAGTAGTTTTGAATACAGTACTGAAATAAGTTGATATGTGCTTATTTTCTGGGTTGGAACCTATCCATGTTCTGTCCATCTTATATCTATCCCTGATACCAAATTTTCTGTTAAATAGTGCCGAGGAATAAACCAGTCTTATTAACTGGGACATATTTGTATTATTAAATTAAGGCCTCATCTATACTGCCATATAAAATCCAGATTATATGCGTTGAGCTAGATTATATGGTGTACAGAAGTTGATTGTAAAGGATATGATTATAACTGTATTTGTGTTTGCACTGGTTGCCCTAATGCTGGAGCGGCCTAGCTGTGAGGAGTGTGTTACCATGGAAACGATGCTGTAGAGAAGTGGGAGGAGCTTAGAGAGGAGAGTTTTGAAAAGCGACAGTTAAAGTCAGTTGGGGGTTTAGGCTCAGAGGAATGAAGAGTCAGGTTTTAGGCTCAGGAAAATGAAGTGTTGAGAGAGAGAGTGGGAAGTAGAGAAGCAGTGTTTGTGAATAGTCAGAGGTTTCTTCAGTTTAGGAAGGCTGAAGGGGAAACCTTATTAGTTTCATTAGTTAGAGAAGACTAATAGAAGCTTGTTTAGATCACTAGTTAAAAGTGAACTAGAGATCTGAGGTTTGATCACGGAAGGATCAAACAGGAAGACTATTCACCTCAGGAACCATTGTTTAATAAAGTGCTTCACCACAGCAAAAGTTATTGATAAGTTGTAACATCAGAAATCTGTACTGTATCGCAACCAAGTTATATGTAACGTTCTCCAAGTATCTTCCAAGTTTATCACCAAACTGCAACCATACGCTTTGTTTCAAAATAAACTTGTTCTCTTTGATTTTAAGACTGCCTCATCTCCATTAATTCTGCGTTCAGTGTGCCCAATCTCCCAAAATTACCTCACATCACAAATTGGTGGCACCATTAAGAATATTAAATAATAATTCGTAACTTCTCTCTCCTGAAACCCTTTTCTTTGAATTGGGGCAAGCCCTTTGCATATGGCAATGTAGATTCATACAATCCAGTTCAAAGCAGATGTGGATTTTATATGGCAATGTAGATGGGGCCTAAATTAAAGCTACAGGCTGTGTATCCCTTATTGAGAATTCATGAATTGTGAATATGTATGCCAAAATCGTCCATATGGAGACTGAGAAAGTGATACTTTTGCTTTCTGATAGTTCAGTGTACATAAACTTTCTTTCATGTTCACACTCGTTAAAAATATTGTGTATGAAATTATCTTCAAGCTATGTGCTTGAGGTGTATATGAAACAACATAAACATGAATTTCATGTTTATACTTGGGTTCATCTCCAAGATATTAAGTACATATATGCAGATACAGGTATTCCTTAATCTGGGGAAAAATCCAAACACTTCTGGTCCCAAGAATTTCAGATAAAGGATACACAACCTGTATAATGATCTATCTTAAAATGTTCTCTCTTTTTAGCTCTAGAGTTGCTTTTTGCAGCATGATGCTTTCTAGATCTGTCAGTCTGCAATTTCCTTCATCTCCACCAATCATGGGTGTGGTGGGAGGAGTAGCCTAATATACCTGGAAGGTACCAGGTAGAGGAAGGTTGAACAGGATATATCTTTCTGGCTCTATGAGGGGCAACCACAAAGCCTTTACATGGCACTTGGCATTATTAACCAGTGGAAGGAGGAATACGTATGCAGCTTAGATAGCTGTTTGCAAGATGAGATCATGTCTCCCTTGAGCAGCTGCCTGCAACTCCTTAGGAAGACATGCCTCACCCTTTGGGAATGATGCCTAAAGATTAAACACATGCTGTATAGTTGTATGCATATATGTGCTTGTCTAGGCTGAAAATACTTTCTAGTGTGACAATTCATCACCTTTTGAAAAAGTACATTCTGCACTCCACCCCATTTATGGAGCAGTTAGTGAATAATGATTTATGAAGCCTGTTTAAAATATCTTAATCCTTGCATTTTCTGATCTCATTCTAAAGTTTAACACACAAAAAAAACTATTACAGCATCTTAAAGGTTAATAAATGTACTGTACCATCGTGTTTTGTGGACCACAACCCGCTTCTGGCAAACTGAGGTCTTCTCCATGAAGGCCCATGTTGCAATAAATCAGGGTAACAAGACTCTTTGTTGTTTCTGCTGCAAGTCTAAATCTGATCAGGTAATGATAGGTCCATAACAAAGTAATGATAGAAAGTTCCTCCACACTGGTCACATCATCCCCTCCCACTTTAAAAACAAAGTCCAGGATGTATTCGGCTACATGAGTGGGCCCAGATATGATCTGGGACAGCCCCATAGTTGTCATGGTGGCCATGAGGTCCTGAGCCACACCTGACGAGGTGGTCTCAATGTGGACGTTGAAGTCCCCCAGCACTATAAGCCATTGAGACTCTAATGCCAGGAGAGAGACCACTCCCACTAGTTCAGGTAGGGAGACTGTTGTGCAGCAGGGTGGGTGGTACACAAGCAGAATCTCTAATCTGTCCCGGTTACCCACTCTGAGATAGACATACTCGAATGTGGAAGATTGCGGGATGGGACATCTGACCAGGGAAATGGAATCCCGATAGACCACTGTGACTCTCCATCCCTGCCCCTAGGCCTAGCTTGCTGATGCACCCCAAAACCTGGAGGGCAAAGCTGGGTGATATTTACCTCCCCCACCCCCAGTTCATCCAGCAAGGTCCTGGTGGTGCATACCCACCTCATCTAAAATACCTTCTTTCTTTCTCTTGCCATAAGATGTTTTAAAAATTGATGTGATAGGTCATCTATCTTCTGCTTGGGGAGATGCAAAACTTGCATTTCTGGTGAGTTGAAGAAGTGACTTATTCAACCAATTGGGATATATGATAGGGATGATAATGTATCACTACTTTTGAAGTATATATAAAAAGAAGTGTGGACATGGTGTATGATGCATCAGCATTCCAAGACCACATTCTTGTGATCGGCCAAAAGGCACAATATACATTATGTAAGTTCATAAGGCCTAGTTTTAAAAAGTCATTTTAAGAGAAAAAATATATGATGATATGGAATCACAGAGATTCGTCTTAAGATGTTAAATCTGTTTTTAAAGATAGTAGCAGGGGAAGGTTGATACAGGCAGGGATCACTCACCTTATTGCCCAAAAGGTATCTGGGTTCACAGAAGCTGAATCACAGCAATTTTGTTTTTGATCCATTGGTAGAAATAAGTGGACTCAGTTTTAGATCTAACCCATATCTGTTTTGTGAGAGGCTGATAAAGGTGACATTGGCTGATAAAGGTGACTTTTATCCATTTAGCAGTTCACTGATGTCACTATTTAACTAGGATATTAAACTTTCATTTTTCTTATTGTGTGTATTTTTTCAGCCTCTGATTTCATGCCAATCCGGCTAGTAGATGGGAGCAGCGCATATGAAGGAAGAGTTGAAGTGTACCATGCTGGTCAGTGGGGAACCATCTGTGACGACCAATGGGATGATGCTGATGCTGAGGTAGTCTGCAGGCAACTCGGCCTTGGGTTAGTGTTATTCCCAGATTTCCTTTTTTTTCTCTTCCTCTGGGAATATATATGCATGCATTTTTTTTCTAAAGTGTTTAAAAACATAGTCAAAAAGAATGTGTTCTTCATCTTCTCTATCTAGCATGTTTGCTCATATATGAGAGGCTAGTCACTGTAGTTTCATTTATCAAAATATGTATGTCCCCTCTAGGCCCTTCCACATGATTGTATGGTATTCTTGGACCAGAAATAATAGAGTAAATAGGGCAGTTATTTCACATCATATTCTGATTATATGGCTTAGAGGTCAGGGTATCTTTTGCAAGTCTGTTTTTCAGATGAGTTACCAGAAAGTTCTTTGAGAAATTTGTCTTATCACTTCATTCCAGACTAACGTGACTGATTAAATCTAGCTTGCAGAGACCTGTTGGCAGAAGAGAATGGATTACTGCTCGAAGAATACAATTACATTCAAAGTCCATTTTTGGTGATGTTATCATGAGTTTTCTTGGAATGATTTGTTCAGACGGACTTTGTTATTGCAGAGTGTGACTTGCCAAAGTTCTCACAACAGGTTTCCATGCCTCAGCAAGCATTTCAATCCTGGTATCTCAGGGTCCTGGCCCAGCATTCAAACCACTGTACTATAATGACTCAGCATAGTATAATGGTTTGAGTTTAGTCTAAGAATTTGGAGGACCAGGGTTTGAATCTGATGAGTGTGGTAAAAAGGGTGAAGGCACTGGTGTCTGGTCTGGAGAGTGGATTGGTCTGAATTTGACCCAGTTTTTTTGTCCAGGTTAACTCAAAGAGTTGCCAGTAAGCCTCTCAATACCCATCAGAAGTACTGAACATAATGGGGATAACCAGTGGACTATTCATGATGAGTACACTTTTTTTTTGCCAATTTAAACAAGCCCCAGAGCTACCAGGGACTTCTCCTGAGCGTTCATCCCGAGCGAGCTGCTCAGCATGTCACTTTCTCCTGGTATAGAAGAACTCTGAAAGTGATTTCCAATGCTCTGCAAAGAGTACTGTTGGATACTGGAATCCAGTATATAATTGTAAGCCATTGCAAACTCCCAACATTCTTTTATTTCCATGTTAAATCTATAGTTAAAATAGCACTCCATAGCTTTTTTTTTTTTAGCAATTTGCAGTTTTTAATGCATAGCAAGATGGCAAGATGGATGGATGGCATCCTTGAAGTGACTAGCTTGGCTCTGAAGGAGCTGGGGAGGTGACGGCCAACAGGGAGCTCTGGTGTGGGCTTGTCCATAAGGTCACGAAGAGTCAGAAACGACTGAATGAATGAACAACAACAATGCATAGCATATGCTGAGATAATGTTTGCTTGCCTTAACTTTATGTTCACACATTTTATTTTGGCTTGGGAGCTTGACTAGCTTGCATCTGTTCCCTATGTTTAGTAAATGATTGCTGTCAATAAATAGTCCCAGCCGGATGTTTTTATCTGAGCCTACAGACTTGTGATCTCAGAAAGAATGGCAAGATTCCTTTGCAAGTAGGCACATTATCCCTAGTGTGAAATTTACCAAGAGAGGAAAGTAATAGGGAAGTGTCGAACAGTACATTGGATAGGGCAAGAAAGAAAGGCCAAGCTATTCTATTCATTGGGCTGGAAATCATCAGTGAATGGTAGAATAATTTTTTTAGTTTTTAACCTTCCTATCCTATGTGTTAGGAAAGAGAAAATAGTTTTTCGGATTAATCGTTGGGTGATCACTTTATAGCAAACTTTATACATAGTTCTTTTAGTGATCTACATTTCTGAGTGCTTGAGAATTTCTTTTCTTTTCTCAGAATAGCACATCTTTGTCAAAAAAGTAAATGTATTGGTTATTAAGGTTTGCTACTTTAGCTCTTCCTTGTGTAAATGAGACCTTGGTAGTTGAGCCAACTACTTTCTAGTCCAGGTTTGTAAATATTCCCAGAGTTTACATCTTGTCACCAGGCCATTATGATTAAGCCTTGATATAAACAGTAGAAAATAGTCTCCTTGGGGAAATAGGACAGGATATAAATAGTTTCATTATTATTTTTATTGTTATTATTTTCAAATTGTTTTCTCAGTGTGATTTTAGTGTATTCACTTTTTCTACTTTAATGTTCTGTTTGTTAACCAATGTGTTCCATGAACACTCAATATGAGGCATAATGCACACACATATATGTGCAGTTCTTTAGTCTTCTTTTGGTCTTTAATATTGCACAATGTATTGTCACATATAATAAGAAATAGTTATTATAGCTTATTATAGCTAGGCAAATAGTTCCAGACAAAATGAGTGGGTTAGTTTGAGAAACAATTTCTGATAAAAAATTTTAGTCCCATATCTCCAGCAAAGACTTTTTGCATTTTTAAATGAATGTTAAATACATTGATGCATTTTAACATCATGGATAGAATCTAGAATTGGCATGTGCACCTGTCCTGATGAAGTCAGGATTCTCCAATGCTTCTCCAATGCTTCCTCTACACAGAGAGCCAGAAGATCCAGCTTGAGGAGAGAGATTTAGGTTCGGGGGAATTTCCAAATCAGACAAAATAAACTTATATGAACTGAACTTCCACTTATGGATACTAGTGCATTTCAGCATTTTGGCAGACATTTTTTTTCTTCAAATGCCCTTTCTAGGCTTCTTTTAATCTTCCATTTATAATTTTTGCGGCTAAAAAGGCCAATATTCTGTTTTGTTTTTGTTTGTTTTTTTTGTCGTGTCAGAAGCGACTTGAGAAACTGCACATTGCTTCTGGTGTTAGATAATTGGCTGTCTGCAAGGACACTGCCCAGGGGACGCCCGGATGTTTTGATGTTTTATCATCCTTGTGGGAGGCTTCTCTCATGTCCCCACTTGAAGAGCTAGAGCTGATAGAGGGAGCTCATCCGTGCTCTCACTGGATTCAAACCTGCGACCTGTCGGTCTTCAGTCCTGCCAGAATAGGAGTTGATTGCATTTTAAATCACTGGGGGTAGGAGCAAGAGAGAAGAAGCACAAACATTTAACTTTCTAGGCCAGAGAAGAACTTCTGAAAATGGCATTTGATATCTGTTGGGGTTTGCTTCCAGGGCTACCTATAGATGCTCAAGTCCCATTATATACAATTGCATAGTAAAATAGTGTCCCTTATACAAAATGGAAAAATTAAAGGTTTACGTTTCGAAACTGGAAAAAAGTATTTTTTATCTGGGATTGATTCTTGGATGCAGAAACCATGAATTCAGAAACCTGTTTGTAATCACCTCTATTTATGAGCTGGACCAGAATCTTGTGGCCCTTTTCACACAGCTGAATAAAATCCCACATTATCTGCTTTGAATTGGGATATATGGTAGTGTGGACTCAGATATCCCAGTTCAAAGCAGATATTTTGGGATTTTCTGCCTTGATATTCTGGGTTATATGACTGTGTAGAAGGGCCCTGTGTGGTCTTTACTTGTGGTGCTACGCAGTGAATTATGGCTTGGCACCACTTTCCCTCAGTCTCTGTTTAAAAAAGAAGTCTGTTTCTTTGGTGCTCAGTAAGCAGTTGGTTATAGTTTCCATACATATACCCCTTATCTGTGGACAACAGGGAAAAGGACCCCATCAATTGCAACAGCTGTTTCCTGGTAAGTGCAGGAGCTATGTTGCCATCATGAAGACCAGTCACAATTCCAAGTTAAACATTCATAACTATCACACATGATTACAGCCACTATTCCAAAACCAGACAGTGCTTCCCCTATATGTCTATTAATTTGTTCCAAGAGACATTTTAAAAGTTATTATTTGTATGGTATTAGAACAGGAAATATGTTCCTTCTCACTCACTTTTCCTGTTTATTTCTGTTTTCCTCATCCTATTCCTTTATAAATTAGTACTAACTCTTGTAGCTGCCAACTAATCTTTTTTTCACTGCTTTTTATAATTTCAATCTGCTTTAACTTGTGGGTGAAGGAGACAGCCAGATGTCCTATGAACAGATTGAAAAACCACAACATATTTTTATGAGTCATGCAGGACATTAAGATACACAAATTGTTTGGAAAAGCTATTTTTAAAGGACCGTTATATACAAATTGATGCTAAATTTATGTCTGGATTTTTCAGCTGTAGATGCCATAAATAAGAGTTTGGCAATTGTATCCAAAATATGTTTGTTTAAATTCTGCTTCCTCAATACTTACACACAAAACTATGCTTTGACAGATTTTTAATGTATCTTTATAGGATTTTTTGTATCTACTATCTTTTTTCTTCATTCTTTCTTAAAATGCAAAATGCAAACAAACAAAACAAAACACCCCAGAATTCTAGAGTTTATGTCTTCTAGCAAATGACTCTAGGGCCCCTTCCACACACAGAGATGTATAAAATTCACATTGAAACTGGATTGTATGGCAGTGTGGACTCAGATAACCCAGTTCAAAGCAGATATTGCAGATTATCTGTCTTGATATTCTGGGTTATATGGCTGTGTGGAAAAGCCCCAGGAAGAACAGAAGTAGGGCAAATCCTTTTAAGATTGCGAGTACTGTCTAATTTAGTTATAAAAATGAATAAAAATATACTTTATTGTTCTCACTCTTTCGTTGTATTCTATATAAAATTTAATAAAATTTCTTTTAAAAATGAATAAAAATCTAGATATTTAGTGTCCAATACCAATTCTGTTGTGGGTTCCTTTTCAGAAAATATGTAACCAGTATGTGGTCAATATACAAGCAATCCTCAAGTTATGAACAAGATAGGTTCTGTAGGTTTGTTCTTAAATTGAATTTGTTTGTAAGTTGAAACAGGCACATTTTAAGTGTATCTCAGACCAAAAATATCTATCTTTTAGTTTTGGATAGCATAGGGAAAGGTTTACACCCCTGCAGTGTTTGTTTTGCTGTCTGTGCCTCTGTTTAGAAGATTTCTCCTTACTTTCTGTCTCTGGAATAACTGAATTTTGTTATAAAAACAAGGATTGTTGAGAAAGCTCCAGTGGAGATAGCTTTTCTCCATGATAACTTCTCCTTCCTAGGGGTAGATTTCTTTCACTTCCTGGTGTCTCACCCTGTTCTTAACTAGGAGTCAATTGAAAGTTGGATGCTTATAACTTGGTGACTTCCTTTACTTTGGACAGCAGTAATTGTACCAAGCAATACTAATAATTTTCAGCAGCTAAATTAAAAGACTGCTTTCTGAAAGATTGCTATTTGTGATTTGCTTTTTATTGCGTTTGAACAGGGGAGTTGCCAAGGCATGGAGCCAGGCTTATTTTGGAGAAGGCTCAGGTCCTGTGCTACTGGATGAAGTGCGTTGTACGGGAAATGAGTTGTCTATAGAAGAGTGCCTGAAGAGTTCCTGGCGAGAACACAACTGTGGCCACAAAGAAGATGCAGGGGTTTCCTGTACACCTCTAGCAGGTAGACCTCAAGGAGCTAGATTACTGTAATGCTATCAGGACACAGGATAGAGTTTTTGAAATCAATTGCTGCTCTTCTATTATTGCAGGAGTTGTGGGGAAAATCTTTTTTGAGTAATGCCACCCATATACATGCTGCTTGTGCACTGAAAGGCTTCACATATTTTCAAATATACATTCTACTTTTCTTAGGCACTTCAGCAAAGAACAGAGAACAAAATAATATATTATTTAAGAGATACATTATTGTATTATGATTCAGTTTTTTTCCATGTCAGGAGCGACTTAAGAAACTGCAAGTCACGTCTGGTGTGAGAGAATTGGCCATTTGCAAGGACGTTGCCCAGGGGATGCCTGGATGTTTCATGTTTTACCATGCTTGTGGGAAGCTCCCCTCATGTCCCCACATGGGGAGCTGGAGCTGACAGAAGGAGCTTTACCCACTCTCCCTTGATTCAAACCACAGACCTGTCAGTCAGCAGTCCTGCCGACACAAGGGTTTAACCCATTGCGCCACCAGGGGCTCCTATGATTCAGTTACCCTTCTACTGCTTTCTTAGGAACAGTGTAAAATGTATACATAATTACTTCATAGCAATGACCACAATCCCTTTGCTATCATAATTGGAAATCAATGAAAAGAAGACTGTGGGCTGCTTCTGTATGACTTGGTTAAAATATGTATGCCTATAGGTTCCTTGTAACCTATAGAAAGTTGTAAAGTTTTATATTTCTCCAGATATACATGAGAAAGAGCTGAGGTTATTTTTTATTTTCTGCTGGGTATACACGTAATCAAAGAAGCATATTTGTTATGTGCACAGTAGTTTATAGAAACAAGGAATGGGTGGAGTCATGATAGGAAAGCACTTGGGCTAATAATACATGAATCTTTCTGATAAGCCACATTGCGGAGTCCCATCTGCCCCATAAATAGTAGAGTTTTCTTCAATATAGGAAGCCACCATGATACATGTACAGGCAGTCCCTGTGTTATGAACAAGATAGGTGCTGCAGGCTTGCTTTTAAGCTGAATGTGTATGCCAGTTGGAACAGGTACATTTTTAAAGTATACCTCCAGCCATTTATTTTCTAATTTTGGATAGCATAAGGCAGGGTTAACACACTGTGGTGTTTGTTTGGCTGTTTGTGAATTCAGATTTCACCTCACTTTCTGTCACTGTGACAACTGGATTTTGAAAATTTTGAGTTATGGTGGAAAGAAGGATTGGTGATAAAAGCTTTAGTGGAGACACCTTATTTCCATTACAACTGTTACAGGAGTGAAATTCCCTTCATGAGGTTAGATTTCCTCTCACTTCCTATTGTCTTATGCCCATTTGGAACTAGGAGTTGTAGGTAAGTTTGATGTTTGTAACTTAGGGACATGCTATATATGATTCACTCCTGACATAATATACCTTATCTTGTACTCATCCAAAAAGTTGGTGTTCTTGATTGTATCCACTACATAATTTGGAAAAACAAAGGCTCTTTTTTGGATGTTTAAAAATACTTTCATGGTGAGGATGGTTGAATCCATGATTACAAAACCTTTCAAAAGCTTTTGTAACCATAGATTCAACCATCCTTGCTCTTTGTAACTTTACAAGTTACGTTGTAACCTTTAAGGAAACAAAGTCAGCACAAAAACATAATGCTGTCTGTGCTGAGGAAAAATCCTTTTGGATAAATACAAAATGTGGTACCATGAAAGGGGAGGGCTGTTTCTGAGACTCAAAGCAGGGAGGGGAGGATCAGGAGTGCTAGGCGCATGGCATAATGGTACATATGTATGGACGAGGAAGAGCATGTGAGGTTGGAGGGAGGCTTATGCCAGTGAATTCTTGATTGTAGATAACTAGAAATCGCAGCAACAACAACTTCTAAATGTCAAGGTCTATTTCCCCCAAATTCCACTAATGTTCACATTAGTCCATATTGAGTATTTGTGCCAAGTTTAGTGTAGATCTGTCATTGTTTGAGTCCACAGTGCTCTCTGGATGTAAGTGAACTACAACTCCAAAATTCAAGGTCAATGCCCACCAAACTTTTCCAGTATTTTCTGTTGGTCATGGGACTTCTATATGACAAGTTTGGTGGAGTTCAGAATGCTCTCTGATTGTGGGTGAACAATACATCCCAGCAACTCTAACTTCCAAATGACAAAATCAACCTCCCCAACACCACCAGTATTCAAATTTGGGCGTATCGGGTGTTTGTGCCAAATTTGGTCCAGTGAATGAAAATACATCCTGCATATCAGATATTTACATTAACATTCATAACAATAGCAAAATTACAGTTATGAAGTAGCAATGAAACTAAATTTATGGTTGGGGGTCACCACAACATGAGGAACTGTATTAAGGGGTTGCGGCATTACCAAGTTGAGAAACACTGCCCTATTGTGAATTCCAGGGAATTCTTAAGATCCCTGGAAGCAATGTCCAGGCAGAAAAGTATTTGTTAATCATTCTCAAGAGGCTTTCATTGTAATCTGCTTCTTTTGTTTTATTTCATCCAACCACAAACCTTCAGTGCGAGAACTGACAGTGGTGGGAGGGGAAATGAAGAAGGCATTCACTTGTGTGGAAGTTAAGAGTTGTAGAAAGAAAAGAAGGTGTTAAGCTAATGAAAGGATGTGCGGCAGATGTAGCCTTCACTTTCTTTTCCCTCAAATGATTTCTTTTACCAGTTGAGTGATGTGTCTTTTATGTTTTTATTATCTTTCTTACACCTTCTCTTTGAAAGATTGAACATAACAGGCATTTGGCCTTGTATCTGTTCAACCGCAGCAAATTTTATAGTGCCGTTTTTTCTCCTGGCGATTGTCAATAAAGCAAGGCTGATTCTTCTTTTTAATGCCACAGATGGTGCAATCAGACTCTCAGGCGGGAAAAGCAGCCATGAAGGACGACTGGAAGTGTTTTACAATGGACAGTGGGGCACAATTTGCGATGATGGGTGGACTGAATTGAACACACAAGTGGTTTGTCGGCAGCTGGGCTTTAAGTAAGGTCAATTTGTGTGAAGCTGGCTGCTAATCACTCTGTTGAGCAATGCTGACAATTTTCTGCAAAGTGCTTCCATATATTATGCAGAATTTCACAGGTGCTGCTTTGTTTCTTAGTCTCATGATTAAATCCTAATCAGTTTCATATGCTGTCCTTTGGAAAGCATGTTTAAATATGGCAAAGGTACTTAATGGAAGAAGAAAAAAATCAGATTTAGTAAACTAGCTTTGCAATGCTTTCAAAGAGGAAAATATAAATTGTAATCTTCTTTCTTAAATATATCCAGATTAGGAAGTGGGTACAGTGTATTAACTGATTTACCACTTTGCTAGAAGTCTCCTGTTTGGCAGTCTGTATATCTGAAAATGGTTGAATCAGACTTCAACAATCTGTTCTGTCCAGGTATGCTGGACTATAGCTCCAATTATCTGCAGATCAGTGCAAAGTTTTAGTACAACTCCTTTGAAGGATACAAGATTGAGAATGGCTGATTTAAATTCTTAGATCATAGGAGACACATCTGACAGGGGTGCTATGCAGTCTTAAAACTCCTGTTCTTACGGAAGTGACTCTATTAGTTCCGGTTAAGGAACCAGGTATCCAAAAAATACTGTTGTAGTGGTATTCTACTTAAACAACAAAATAACCATCGACTCTTGTTCTTTCCCAAATAAGCAGGAAGGTTTTCTCCCCTTTTGTTGCAGCAGTATACAGATATACAAACTTTACAGCTTCTACTCACAGCAGCAATTCTCCAAAACACCATCCAACCATCATCAAATTTAGTATAACTACAACCTATATACTACTCCCATTGCATTAACCACCACACCCTAGTTACAGTGGTTTAACTCTTTTACAGGTGGTTAGGGAAAATATATTAACTCTGCTATCACTTAGAAAATGCCAGGTAATTTCCGAATCCTGATAGCATCCACATTTCACATTGGGAAACAGCTGGTATGGTGAAAATGGGAAATAAGATAATAATTTGGGCTGTTGCATAGGTTCAAGCCTGGGCCCTCTACTGGTGATCAATTTGCCATATGCAATAAATCCGCCCCCTCTGGTGGTGCAGTGTGTTAAACTGCTGAGCTGCTGAACTTGTTGACCAAAAGGTCAGTGGTTCAAATCCAGGGAGCAGGCTGAGCTTCCGCTGTTAGCCCCAGCTTCTGCCAGCCTAGCAGTTTGAAAACATGCAAATGTAAGTAGATCAATAGATACCGCTTGTGCGGGAAGGTAACAGTGTCCCATGCAGTCATGCTGGTCACATGACCTTAGAGGTGTCTATGGACAATGCCAGCTCTTTGGCTTAGAAATGAAGATGAGCACCACCCCCCAGAGTCGGACATGACTAGACTTGATGTCAAGGGAAAACCTTTACCTTTACTAATGTAAAGGTTTGTAGGACCACACATTCCTTCCTATAACAAAGCCCTTTTCTCCTTTGTGAATTTCAGAATTTTAGACCCATAGTTAAGATAGTTAAGGTGGTCTTTATCATCATCAACATTTTCATGTGGTTAGACCAAGAATGAAAAAAAGCGAACTCCAAGAGAATTGCACACCATTAAGCAATCAAACCCATCATATCTGTATCATATGCCACTGTTACAGGATGAAAAACTGGTTCCTGCATATAAAGTTAAACATTCTGACCAAGATCCTACATCAAGTGACATATCTCCATGACATAGCTATTATATTTCTGTCAGTGCTGCCCTCAACCCACATTTTCAGTGTAATAGCCCTGCTCCAAGAGAGCAGTTTCCATGTTTAGGAAGAGCAAGTAGAGCCGCAGAAATATCTTGAGATGTTTTCCTATAACTTGATGCACTGCTGGTTCCTGAAGACAACATTATAACAATACATTTGGCTAAAGGAAAATAGTTGGATGTGTCTCTGTTGTTTAAAATAGCAATCTTGAGGAACTGCCACTTGTAAAAGATAGGAGGGATGGGGAATTTTGGTCATTGGGAAGTTGGAACAGGGTTTTTACTTTTGCCATAACTAAAAAAAAGTGGGTTACAGTTGCATAAGTGGGATGCTAGCTATAATTTAATGTATACTATAATAAGTCATTTTTAATAGTTTATTTCAAAGTGGGGGTGGGAGCATTGAGCAATATTTCCTAATAGTTACAATAGATTTTAATTGAAGGTGAACCTGGCCCTCCTTTGGAATACATTTTCTGATGCACAAAACATTGTGGGTGTTTTGTTTGTTTGATATTATGCAATTATTCTTTGTCCATACTGATATCCTCTTCACCATATTAATCTGGGAATTCACAGAAATGGAAAAAGCACATTGGAACGCTATCCAAGAGAGAATAGTGGACCCATCTGGCTGGATGATGTGAGTTGTTCAGGAAAGGAATCTGCCCTCCTTCAGTGTTCGAAGAAGGAATGGGGAAAACATGACTGTAGCCACCAAGAGGACATCAGAATAAGTTGCTATCCAGATAATGATAGCCACAGAATTTCACTAGGTAAGTCACTCTTTCTAGACACAAGGTCCCAAAAATCTTAGGATTTGCCACAAGACAGCCTTCTTCTGAAACTGAAGGAGGTATAAAAACGGTTTCGTGAGACAATAGGAAGATGTAGTGTTCAAATACTAACCAAAGCCTAACTTTGGTTAGGCTCTGGGTACATCCAGACAGCCCCTTTAATGCGGGAGTTCCCACAATTAAAAGGGGGCTGTCCAGATGACATCCTGGAGAAATAATAATAATAATAATAATAATAATAATAATAATAATAATAATAACAACAACAACAACAACTTTATTTGTACCCCGCTACCATCTCCCCAAGGGACTTGGTGCAGCTTACATGAGGCCGAGCCCACAATACATCAGCAAAAACAACAACAACAGCAATACAAAACAATAAAATGAAACTCATAAACAAAAAAACAAGCAGTAAACATTAATAATAGTATGACAACGCTTAAAAACCTATGGCTGGGCCAAATGTAATAATTAAAATTAAAAAAAAATACTGCTGAGCATGACCAGGTGAAATATATAACTAGGATAGAATTTCGGAGAGGAAAGGGCGTGCATACAATCTTAGATCATTGATAAAGTGCATTTAGGGACATATTGCTGGGAGTCTCCTTATTCTGGGAAATCCAAATTAATTTGCCACAAACCAGGAAAACCCTGGTGTGTGGTGATTGAATTTGTTAGTGGGTTTATTCTGCGCCTTCTGGGAAGGCACAGGATAAACCCACTACTTCCAGTGTCTGGACTTTTGAGGGGGCAGTCCAGAGAGTAATCCCACGGTTTTCTGGGGTAAATTAGCCCGGAAAACCGTGAGGCCACCAACCTCCTCCCCAAAAGCCCCTCAAATCCCTTTTAAAAACAAAAGAACTTACCAGGCCTCCATTAGAGGGCTGCCAGAGTTCTCCTGGTGCATATAAATGATGTGGCAGGAGAAAGGGGGACAGAAGGAAAATCTTGGCTCCCCCCTTTCTCCTAGCGTGTCATTTCCACATGCCAGGAGAGCTCCGGCATCCCTCTAATGGAGGCCGGGTAAGTTCTTTTGTTTTTTAAAGGACTTCTGGGGAGGTGGTTAGAGTGTCCGGGTGTTCTCCTGAAAGTTCCGGGAGAACATCTGAACACCCACCCCAGAAATCACACACTTTCTGGGGTGTGTGTGGATAGGGGACCAGGAACATTCGCATTTTATAAGCAGGAATGTTCCTGGGATAAAGGGCTGTGTGGAACGCCCTCTGTCATATTTGTGAATATGTGGCAAGTAGCTCTTGATATACTGGCCAAATCAAGGATGTATTGGATATTACTTTTAGTTAAAAGTTGTTTGCTGCCTGTGGAACAGTCAAAACCTGAGATTCCCACTGAGGGCTCTTCCACACAACCCTATAACACAGAATATCATGGCAGAAAATTCCACAATATCTGCTTTGAACTGGGTTGTCTGAGTCTACACTGTCATATATTCCAGTTCAAAACAGATAATGTGGGATTCTATTCAGCTGTGTGGAAGGGGTCTGAGTTTCAATCTCCTTGAGATACTGCTCTCCAAAGATAATAATGGGGATTTGCTATCACTACATTAAAGCTACAGCCATCTCCCTCCAGAGATCAGGAAGGAACATATGGTCCTCCAGATTTTGTTAGGATCCAGGTACCATCAGTTCCAGTCCATAGCCAGGCATGATGGGAAGTACCGTCCAACATCAACTTGAGCAGGAGTGGTTTGATACTTTAATTCAAATCATAAAAGCAATATGTAGAACGTCTAGTAGTAAGGTAAAGTGGGAATTGGTCCAAAACAGCTAGCGTAAAACATGTCCCCCATTTATTATCCTTATTATTTGAATTCGGTAGGATTTATAGGAATGTGCTGTAGGATTTTATAACTTTGTAAAATCATTATTTTATAAACACATTAAAATGTGACATAACTGGCATTACATTTTATGTAGAGGAAGCATTTATTAGTATTTTAATTTTACTGCTCTGTAATTGGGCTTTTGGGTAAAAATTATAATTTCTCAATAGTAGAAAACCTTAGTATGACACTCTATTGCTAAATGTTTGAGGAAATGTAAGTTTAGTGGGAAATGTATTGATGGTGTTTATGAACTCATAGTGTAATGTTCAACCTTCGGATGTAAAGGCCCTTGGGAGCTGGCAATCTGCCATAGTTCTGAGAGAAGATTAAAGTGTAATTGAGATGCTCCTTGTTTTCCATTCTTATTCACTCAGGAAAAGATTAAAAGTTCAGTTGTAATGCTTTACATAGGAGTGTCCAAGGCATATAGTTCAAACAGGGAGGTTCAACACAAAACCACAGCTTCAAAGCATAAAATTGGAAGATGTCTGATTAGATTAGAGCAATCACAATATACATTCTCCCTTAGATCATTCAGATTGCATGTAACTAGTTGCATGCTTGAATGCCCAACTATGGGTGAGTAGAAACGAAAAGCAAAACAACATCAATTCCCACCACATACAAAGCTAGAATTTCAAGGAGAATATTTTTCTCTAAGTTTCTGCATGACATACTGTTTTGTGCCAGAAGCGAACGGGGTTAAATCTAATATCCCCATCTGCCAGGTGAAGTTGCATTTTCTACCCAAAGATACTTTGACTGGCATCGTATGGATGGCTTACACATTTATGTATTTATAGAATGAAGTACATGGATGTTTTAATCCATTCATGTGGATGGCTTAGACATATATGTGTTCATATAAAGAAGTACTTGGATGTTTTAATCAGTTTAAGGTTATGGAAACAGATTTGTGTATGAGGCATATTTTGTTAAGCATTGGATTGTGTTGCGGTTTACTATGAGGCTATGTTGTGCAACTTTTGTGCAAAATTGTGAGCCTCAGTGTAGGCTTTCAGGCTTTGTGTGTGATGCTGTTATGGATAGAATCATAGAGCTGGAAGAGACCTCCTGGTCTATCCAGTCCAACCCCCTGTCAAGAAGCAGGAAAATCACATTCAAAGCACCCGCGACAGATGACCATCCAGCCTCTGTTTAAAAGCTTCCAAAGAAGGAGCCTCCACCACACTCTGGGGCAGAGTTCCACTGCTGAACAGCTCTCACAGTTAGGAAATTCTTCATGTTCAGGTGCAATCTCTTTTCCCGTAATTGGAAGCCATTGTTCCACGTCCTAGTCTCTAAGGCAGCAGAAAACAAGCTTGCTCCCTCCTCCCTGTGACCTCCCCTCATATATTTATACATGACCATCATGTCTCCTCTCAGCCTTCTCTTCTGCAGGCTAAACATGCCCAGCTCTTTAAGCCTCTCCTTGTAGGGCTTATTCTCCAGACCCTTGATTTTATAGTTGTCTCATCTTATGCTCCCTTTCAAAACCCTATTCTCTAAATTTAGTGCCTGCAAATGCCTTAGCTGTTAATGGCAGCTTGCAACCATGAATCCTATTCTGGGGACATCCAATCAACCAACTGATCAATGAAACTGTATTGTTGTGTGGTGAATACCTTTTTCTTGAAGGTTATTTCGCACTCTCATAGTCCTGAGACTTCTTCACAGACTGGAATTATAGTTTTCCTACAGGGAAATTCATTTCTATTTTCCAGTCTAGTATTTAGCCAAAGAAGGTGGATTTTCCTCTGGGAAATAGAAGAAAAATGCTGAATCTTAAAATGCAAATTTATTGAATAGTAATAGGTTGTCCTACATGTCACACAAGTAAATTCCCTATTGAATCTGACTCCCAATTGACAGCTTTCCTTAAATGTAATGAAAATTGGCTAAGGTGCTAGTTCTGGCTATTTTTGGCAAGCAGTTAATAGCTGTAACTTATTCCCAGGGCCTCCTCTCAGACTGATGGATGGTGAAAATAAGAAAGAGGGCCGAGTGGAGATTTTCATCAATGGGCAATGGGGAACAATTTGCGATGATGGATGGTCTGATAAGGATGCAGCTGTGGTGTGTCGACAACTTGGCTACAAGTAAGAAGTTTTTAAATTACTGTTAAATACTTTAAGCATGTGCGCCTGTCCTTTGGTCTGATCGAAAAGTTTAGTGTTTAAGGTGAAATAAAGTTACATTTTATTTTTCTTTGTTTTTACACTTATTTAAACTTGTTTTAATTTCACATACAAATAATGTCTTCCTTTTTTCAACTCTGCATCCATTCCATTTTATATGTATATCTATACCAACAGACCAATCTATACCATACATATAAAATATTACTTTGTTATATTCCTTGCAGCAAGCATATAATTTGGGTTTTCTTGGCAAGGTTCATTTAGGCCTCTTCTACACTGCCATATGATCCAGATCATCAAAGCAGATAATACACATTATCTACCTTGAACTGGATTATATGAGTCTACACCACCATATAATCCAGTTCAAAACAGATAATCTGGATTTTATTTAGCAGTGTAGAAGGGGCCTTAGAGGAGGTTTGGCATTATGAAAGAAAGAAATGGATTATCATGGCTGACCAGGGATTTCAACTCTAGTCTCCTGCCATCCTAGCCCAACCCTCTCACACAAGGCTGCCATAATTTACCAAGTTTGAATTAACACAGAAATCTAGTCCTACTCCTTTTGGTCAACACTTTAATTCAATGGAACATGACAAGATGCTGTTTGTGTAGAAAATCTCCATGTGAGACTCTCCATGGAAAGAAGGACTTCTCAAAAGACTCATCACTTTCCAGATGAGAAAAGCAACGATGCCCAAGCCCAGGGCTAAGCCCTTGTATGTTGATTTGCACCTGGTAAGTAATGTCTGAACATACATCCACTTGCATACATGTTATTTTAAATACATAACATTTTAAAACTAATTAAAAGCTGCAAAAACAGGTGGCAAGAATCTACCACAAATGCTTTCAAATGCATCCTGTTTTTGCTTTTGTCATAGGGCCCTTCCACACAGCCCTTTTCAAGGCAGAAAATCTCACAATATCTGCTTTGAACTAGGTTATCTGACTCCACACTCAGATAATGTGGGATTTTTTTGCCTTGATATTCTGGGATATAGGGCTGTGTGGAAGGGCCCATACAATATTATGCTAACATTATAATTATGACTCTATTTCATGAGTTTCCAATATGTTTCTGGTCCAAAGTCAAGGTGCTAATGGTGACATTCAGAGCTTTAAATTACTCTGAACCTTGATACTTGAAGGAGTACCTTTTCTTTCCTGTGTACATTGGCTAAGGTGGGCTGGAGTGGAGATCTCCTCTTTTGTGTCCCACTGATGGGGGCAATACAGTGTGAGAAGAAATAGGATAAAGGATTTTCCTGCCCCTTAAGAGGCCTCATTGGTGCCAACACTGATGACAATCATGTGTCAAGAAAAACATGACTTTTTATTCAAGCCTTTGTAATTCAAATAATTTTGTCCAAAACTATAGATGTGCATGGTTTCAAATTGTCTTATATTTTTAACTGGTGTTAAATTGTTTTAAGGATTAATTTTCTAAATTGTTTTAAGGATTAATTTTCTAAATTGTTTTAAGGATTAATCTTCTAAACTGTTTGTAGTGATTTTATAGTAACCACCTTGAGATCCTTGTGTACAGAGTAAGATAAAATATTCTAATAACTGATTTGTAAAATAAAACAAAAGTTAATACTAAGAAATACTGCATTTTGAAGAGATCATAAAATAGTTTTCTGGTTGTAATTGTCATGCAGTTTTAAATTAACCCATCATAAATACAGTTTTGGTATGTGCCAAGTGCATTATGTTAACAGGCACAACATGACAGAGCCATAGTTGAATTTTACACAATTTTATGCTTTCTGGTAGCTGGACATACTTTGTTGTAATATCTAAGTGTATTTTAATGCAAAAAGATTTTTGTTTCCGTAATGTACATGATAGGTAGAAATACTAATTCATCAGAAATGTGTAGCTACACAATATTTCAGTATTAAATAAAAAAATACCACCGGCAGTGCTATCCTCCACAGAGAATGATACAACTGGTACTTGTGGGGCAGGTAGAACCATATTGCATGAATCAGGAGGCAGGCTCAATGACTGCAAGTCTGAAAAGGCATTAGAAATTGTTCACCAGGAAAATATATTCCGCTTTTCAGGCTACAATACTCTCCTGGGATGAGGAGGGAGGGAGACTGAGATTGAGAGAGAGAGACCCATGATTTTAAATGTGTGGATAAGTTCTGAAGTGCTCATCGAACATTTCATCTCTTCTTTTCCATCCTAAACTATCATCCCCTTGAACCTACTGAGTGGAAAACATTACTTGTTAGTGCCTATGAAATACAAGAAAAGAAAAAGTGAAAAAATTTGAAGTCTGTTAAAATCTTCCTCCTTTTGATGACTTCACCCCTTAATGTTGACCTAAAATTATGTTAATTTTCAGTTACACAGTGATTTTGTGCAGTTTTTCATTTTACCCCAAGGCAGCTCACACCCCTTTCATAACTTTAAACCTTTATACCTTTTCATAGTGAGGGGACTTGCATGTTCCAATATACTTGCTGGTTTAACCACCAGAATCATGCACTCCCAGGAGGGGCCGCAGGGGAGGTTCCAGATCAAGCATAATCTGAAGACATAATTTCCTCAATGGTAGATCAAGCGGAAGATAAAGTGGTACATGTTATAATGGCTGTGAGGGCGGAAGAATTCTGCAACATATTGAAAACCCACGGTTATTGTGTTAACCATGCCACTGGTTGGAATCCTCACTTTGTGAAGACTGTGTTCATTGACTGTGCACTGACCTCCACACATTAAAAAAACCCTCATGCACAGGCATCTTCCAAGAAAAATAGAACAAAACAGAAGTCCAATGGTGATCAGTGAGTGATGTTAGGGAAAGCCCCTCATCACAGAGTGGCACATGGGTGGTGGATATGTTTTCCACCACCAAAACACTACACTTGGAAGGCCATCATACTCAGACAATGAGGGATTACCTAAGAAAGACTATTAATCTAGTGTTTTGTATTACTTTTATATCTTAATAACTGTCAGTAATTCTCAAAGATCAATGTTAGTGTCATCACTGCAGGATCTCTCAATTTACATGTGAGCCATTTTGATTTGTGTTCCTTACAGAAGTAATCTGCCTTATGTTACCTTGCCTTCCCTATACAGCTATATTTTATGCATGTTTCTCCCACTTTTCTCATAAGTCATGCTGTGGTAAGTGACGGTTTCTCATAGAATGGAGAAGAATTATACTACTGTTTCCTCACAATCTGTAGCATATCCCCTTGAAACAGAGAGATTATTTTCTTTTTACTGTTTCGTGTCCAGTGTGATTGTTGGGGATCACCATATTTTATCTAAAATTTCTTAATTTCCAATAATGAAGCCTTAGAAGAAGCATTTCATACTCTCCTAAATTTTGCAGATGCCAAGACTCCAAAAGTTATTAACATCAAGACTGCAATAAACAATAAATGTTTCAATTGATCGGTATTCTGTAGAACATGTTTGTATTCTAAGATTGCAGCATTTTGCATCCTCTCCAGTGCCACACAGGCAGCATGTAATATGCAACAGGAATAGGAAAGTATAGAATGTGAGGACATGGGCAAATTCTTCTAGTCATTACAGAAGCTAAGGGATCAGGCTGGATTCCATGTGTGGCTGCTTTGGATTAAGATCATGCATAATTCATCTTCAATGTATTGTAAATGTTGCAGTAACTGCATGTCTCCGTACTGCTTTATTTGGTTTTCGGCTGGTTTTTTCTAGAGTTATATTGAAATGTATAGGCTTTGTTACTGGGGATTGGATATGTAGTGGATTGGAAAAATATTAGTTGCATGCACAGCTGCCAAACTTGGGCAGACTTTTAATATGTAGACAAAAATCAGTGGAAAAAGTAAACAAAGTAAATGCAGTGAAAAGCCTATAAGTTAATATTTTAGCATGTGGAGTTGCTTGTTACAGTTGTATATTAAAATTTATAGCAGAAAAATGTATCACAAAGAAAAAGAATATAGTTGCTTTAATGAGAAAAGCAGTTATGAAACAGGACCTTTAGCCAACGAGAATATGAACAAAGCATAGCAAGGATGTGAAAAACATTAACATGCTGAAGAAACAATTTTAGGAAGAAAAATTCATTAAGCTCAACAAGCCCCTTTTGTGCTTTAAATTGTTTTCAATGTGGGATGTAAGACCTGGCTGTAATTTGCTCCTCTGTGGGAGAGAATTCAGAATGGAGTGTTTTCTTTGCTGCTGTTTTATTCTTTTGGAAGGATAAAATTTTGATTATCTGGGCCCTGAAATAGTATTTGCCGTTTATGTATGACATGGGACCTCTTATTTTGTTGTGTAGGTTGCTGAGATATAGGGAATAATGTTGTATGGGAAGCTTCAGTAACAAGTTTCATCTTCAAGCATATCCCCAGACCTTCAGAATAGCAGAAATTATGTTTTTGTGAAGCAAGACAGATCCAAAATGAATATAACTATATTATAGAAAATGTTCCAAAATTTGCCTGATGTTGACAACTACCATAAGACATGGCCAAACTGTAAACAAGACGAGGGAATGGGATAGTGCAAATTATAGCTAAGGAACAGGGCATGGGATGAAAGTGAAGTGCTGTGTATTTTATTGCAAACCATTGAGACTAGATATTCTCAAAGGCTTGTCTAAAGATCCAAGTCTTCAGCCAAGTCTTAATGACATACACAATGGCTACAAACATTAGACTCATGTATTGCATAGGGTAACCATTCCAGGACCCTTTGTGTAATATGATTTTCGTATATCCTATATTTTGAAATTCTATTTTTCTTATGAAAAATGAACAATATTTTGGACTTCCAGCTGAAGCTTACCGTAGAGCCACCCTGAAAGACCTAGCAATGCCCATAAAATAAGTGGACCTGAATATCAATAAGGATGCTTCTTTGATTTACTGCTCAAGGGTGAGTTTGCTGACTGTGGCTCTGGACAAGCCATTTAGAATGATATCACATTAACAGTACAA